GATTTGGTGTGTGGTAGTAACAGGTAAATGAACTTTTTTTTATTTTATTATTTGACTATATATGAATGCTTGTGTATAAATACACAAACAATACACACACGCTTTCATGATTTCAATTGTGTAATTTAGGTGATCCTGTTTTGGAAGTTCAGTTCATGCTAGAAATGTGTTTTGGAGTTTGTACGTGTTTTGTCTCTAGGTGCCACCGCACATACTTATGTATAAACATATATAAATAAAGCCACTTCTTTTTACGTTAGTAATTCCTTTTGTGCATAATTTTATATTATTGTTAATAATAAATTAATTAAAGCAACAAAACAACCTGAAGAGCCGGTTCGGAGCCAAAAGAGCCAGTTCTCTAAAAAGAGCTGGAAATCCCATCACTACTGGGCACTCTGGCTTCCCCCCACAGTCCAAAGACATGCAGTGAGTGGGGTTAGGCTAACTGGTAATTCTAAATTGCCAGTAGGTGGAATGTGAATGGTTGTCTGTCTGTGTGTGTTAGCTCTGCAACAGACTGGCTAAGACAGCTGGGATAGGCTCCAGACCCCCACGACCCCGAAACGGAGACGAGAATGGATGGACGGGTTTTCTGATGAAGCTTGGGTTTTCCTATTGTGCATAAACTGGAAGTTAACTCTCAGTTTTCACATGATTTTACAACCTTTGATCTTTATAAAGTTTGCACATCATTGCACAGCAGAGGTTTGTGCTCTGGATATAGCTCGATAAACAGGTTTTAGGGGATCGTAATATCTAACATGGTCATTTTGTTCTGACATAATTCTGTTATTGTGTGTAAATATAAATGATTCATTCTTTCTAAGGAAAATAAATATGTTTTGAAAGTAACAGTGCATAAGTAAACATTCTTGTTGTTATATTGTAACATGTGATGTTTTTTTCTTTTAAAAAAATTATTTAAATTAAGTTCAATGTCAAATTTTGCTGCAGCATTATTAGTGCTCTAACACAGCAAAGCACCTGAACTCACTGTGGAGGTGTGTACGTCTGTGTGTGTGTGTGTCTGTCTGTGTGTGTGTGTGTGTGTGTGTGTGTGTCTGTGTGTGTGTGTGTGCGTCTGTGTGTTGGGGAGCAGGGGGGTTGGGGTGATGGGGCGGAGTAGACTGTCACTGTGCCACTGTAACAAGGCCATGATGAGTTGAGGAGATGACTGATAAACATCTCACCCAATCGGACGGCCCTGAGGGAGATGGCAATAACAACAGGACAACTCAGAGGAGCAGAGGGGCGTGTTTCAATTAGAGAGCTGTGTGTGTGTGTGTGTGTGTGTGTGTGTGTGTGTGTGTGTGTGTGTGTGTGTGTGTGTGTCTGTGACAGAGAGATATCGGCTCATCCTCAGTTCCCACCACTGTTTCTCTGTTTGGCTTCCTCCTGAATATCCAGTGGGGTTAAGGTCAGCTGGCTGTGGAGGAAAGTCCACTGAAAACCAGCTCCCCCTTTCAAAGCTCCGAGGTGGGTTTGAGGCTCATTAATCTGCTTCAACCGGAGGATACAGCATAGCTCTAAAGGATGGATTCCTCCATCACCTCATTTAGATTTAAAGTGGAGTCACAGCAGAGAATGATTAAAAACTCTCTTGCATCATCTGCACTCTGTCCACTTCAGTTTGCCTCAGCTTCATTTCACTCTTGGTGCATTAGTTTGGGCCAATGTGACAACCTTACTGTGGCTCCAAAAGAAGAGCCAAATCATGACCTGTCCATCACCCCACTTGGCAGGTGGATTGAGGTGTTTGTGCTGGTTTGCTTTTCACCAAACTTGGTCCTCTGCACTTTGGCCTCATCTTTGCAAAGGACATTATTCCAGAAGTCTTGTGGTTTGTTCAGACACAGTTTTGAGTCTGAGATGCATCCGTTTTCTGCAGTTTCTCTGAGCATTGCAGGCCAGCAAAGTGTCAACATCTGGTTTTATACATGTGTTCACACTTGCTGATGATCCTTCAATCGAGTACATTTGAGTAAGCAGTTAGTGAGCACTGCGTGTCAGCCAGTTGGGTCTTGGTTTTTTAATCTCTCAGCTAACACAACTTGATGTATTGGACTTCTGATGATGTCACCTTTATCCTCCGGATCCTGCTTTGGATCCATGAAGTGTTTTTGGGCTCCATGCTCCGCCCTCTTAGAAACCTTTGATCCAGCTCGATCTGGCTCTGAAACTGCCCCTTGATGCTCAGAACAATAATCTTACATCTGTCTATTTAGTTGGCTGTTCTGATGTCATGTTTCCCACTATCACAGTGTCTGCTGGAAACTGGAGGTGCAGCCATATTTCTAACAGGTGAACAATAACTGCAGGTTGATTTAGCTAAAATTAGTGACGGTCTTCAGCAGATTTATTGACACCTGATCAGATAAACTGTGTGAAAACAGAGAGACTAAGGTGGGAACCGAGGATAAGCCAGCATCTCACAAACACTCACACATATACTCAGCTTTCTCTAATTGAAACACGCCCCTCTGCTCCTCTGGGACCTGTTGAGTTGTACTGTTGTTATTGTGGTCTCTCTGGGGACCGTCTGATAGGCTGAGACGTTTATCAGTCTTCAGCACCACGCCCACTCATCATTAGCTTGTTACAGTGGCAGTTCAGCAGTCACCCTGCTATCAGTGACCCCGACAGACCGTGAGGTGGGAAAAATCGCCACTTCCTGTTTTATTACCTCAGAATTAGCCTGTTTTCAGTGAGTTTAGTAACAAAGCAGCAACAGGTGGAAGAACAGGGAGAGAAA